AAAGAAAAGAGGTTTAATTGGCTCATAGTTCTGCAGCTTGTACAGGAAAAATAGCAGTTTCTGCTTTTGGGGGGGCCTCAGGAAACTTACAATTGTGGTGGAAGGTGAAGGGGAAGCAGGAATGTCTTACATGGCCAGAGCAGGAAGAAGGCTGGGGGAGGTGCTTAGCACTTTTAAACAGCCAGATCTTGTGATAACTCACTGGAACAGCACTAGGAGGATGATGCTGAACTATTAGAAACCACCCCTATGAGCTAATTACCTCCAACCAGCCCCACCTCCAACATTGGTGATTACATTTCAACTTGAGATTTGGGTGGAGACACAAATCTCAGATCCAAACCATATCAAAAAACATTTTTGGTCTTTACCATGAGAACCTTGTTGAGGGTCTTTGAGGTAAACTCAAAAAGCTATGGTGGCCCCACTGAAACTATGGTCTTAAGGAGGTTCTCATTCTTGAGCTGGTCTACACTTAACCTCCAGCAATTTGTCAAAATTATCTTTTAAATGGCCCTACCAGTTTATGTCTCCAGAACTTTTCTAAGTAAGCTGATCTTGGCCGTGACCCTTTGGATTTGCTTGTCTCTTTAGATTTCAAGGCCATGGTTTGCCTTGAAATCTACAACTTTTCTTGAATCCATCAGAGAACCTCAGGTGGTCTAGGTAGCCAGGTGGTCTAGTTCTCTCTGGTAAGTATGGAATGATAACTTTTAAGCTCTTTACATGTCAGAGCTAAGGCCAGAAGTCCCTCATCATTTTTGAAAGCATAAAGTACCTAAGACCAAAAATTTGAGAACCCTTGCTACATGCTATTATTAAATTCTCTTTTTTAAAACTTAAAGAAATTTAAAATACAGTGTGCCTTTTTTCATTTAGTGATTGCTGTTTTCCTTTTTGGAATTTCATCATTCTAACCATATATCTCTTTGAGAGTTGTATTCTAAAGCAAAATGCGACATGGATTTGATCCTTCAGAAGCGTAACTGAAGCAATTCTTGACTTACTCCATTTTAACCTTTATTTAATATACAGTGACATTGCATTGTACACTGTTAGGAGTCCTTTCATACTGTTAAATATTTACTTAATTCATACTCATGTTACGGTCCTCTGTGATTCTTTCTTTCCACCTTCTTTTGTTTGTTTGTTTTTTGAGACAGGGTCTTGCTCTGTCAGCCAGGCTGGAGTTCAGTGGTACAGTCTTGGCTCACTGCAGCCTCAACCTCCTGAGCTCAAGAAATCCTCCTACCTCAACTCCTGAGTAACTGAAACTACAGGCATACCATCAGGCCTGGCTAGTTTTTGTATTTTTTGTAGAAGCAGAGTTTTGCCATATTGTTCAGGCTGGTCTTGAACTCCTGGGCTCAAGCAGTCTGCCTGCCTCCGCTTCCCAAAGTGCTGGAATTAAAGGAATAAGCCAATTTTCTTCTTTCTTGTGTAAAGCTCAGTTATTCCGTGTCTTACATTTGTATAATTTATATTTCCCAAGTGTACTGCTTTGTGCGTCCTTAGATGAAATGGCATTTGTAAGTAGGACTAAAGTGTACTATTAATTGTGGCACATACTAGTTTAGGCTAATGTGGAAATCCCTAGGAGTCATTTGATTGTGTTATATTTTCACAATGTTTCCCCCATTTAAGGATTATAAACTGGTATCAAGAATACTTTTGTTTGGTGTTCATATTTCTAGGCTTTACTTTAAATGTTGTTAACACTTTTAGATTCACACATTTGTCAATCACTCTCACACTTAAAAGAATCTATTTCCAAAAGTATACTACTACCTTCTGACTTATCAATTAATGAGAGTGACTAAAATGCAACTATTCATAAATTCTGTGACTGTTAGCAACAACAAAAAAGTGATTTTCATCCTGAAGAGGTAATTGTTTAAATTATGAAGATAAACTAAATTTTACCTTGTGGTTATCTTCTTTCATTTTAAGAAAATATAATTTCCTTCCTTCCTATATGCTTTATCAAGATTTATAAGATCTTCAAATTTAAACTCCTAAATATTTAGGAGCTGATGTTGTGTATTGAAACTGAAAAATGTCAGCAGATATTATTTGTAACTTCCTAGTGTTGGCAGTTTTCTATTGATAAAAAGATTTCACTTGAGTAAATTTGGGTTCGATACTATTAATGAAATGATCACTTTATATTTATACATTGTTTCCAACACATTGCTTACCTACAAAACAAATAATTTAAGAATGTACAACAGGTTGTGTTTTGGGAAAAAACCCTTAAACCATGTTTTTTTCCCTCTGCTCTTACACCACAACCATCACCTCCACATGAGAAGACCTCTGTGATGACATATGTGGAGGGTTTTCCCCACACACCAAGCAGTGGGCACCAGCTATGTCCTCCAGAGATAGAGACAGATTCCACAGGTTGACAATCAGTCCCACAAGACCTCTCCCTCTTTCCCACCAGTCACAAGTCCAGATCTCCACAACTTCTGGTTGGTTTTAAGTTGGGGTTCCTAAGACCCTCCTTTGAGTTCAATTAATTTATTTCAGCAGCTTCCAGAACTCAGAGAAACATTTAGGCTTACCAGTTTATTACGATGGATATCTTAAAGGATACAAACAAACAGCCAGATGAAGAGATACATAGGGTGAGGTCTGGGATGGTCCTAAGCACAGGAGCTGCTGTCCTTGTGGAGTTGGGGGTTTGTCAGCATGCAGGCATGTAGATGAGTAGTTCTTCATCTTTCTGTCAATCTCCGTGTGTTCAGTGCTCTGGAAACTCTAACCCTGTCCTTTGGGCCTTTGATGGAGACTTTATTGATTGTCCATGATTGAAACAGGGACAACTGTGTCAAAATGTGATTCAACAAAAAGAATATGCTCTAAACCCAGTGCATTAGTCTGCTCTCACACTGCTATAAGGAACTACCTGAAACAGGGCAATTTGTAAATAAAAGATGTTTATTGACTCATAGTTCTGCAGGCTGTACAGGTAGCCTGGCTGGGGAGGCCTCAGGAAACTTTCAGTCATGGCACAAGGCAAAGGGAAAGCAGGCACATCCTCGCATGAAGCAGGAGAAAGAGAGAGTGACATGAGAAGTGCTACACACTTTTAAACAACCAGATCTTGTGAGAACTCAATCACTATCACAAGAACAGCAAAGGGGAATTCCTGGTTTGGGCAGGAGAAGGGGAGAGACAGAGAGAGAGAGAGAGAGAGAGAGAGAGAGAGAGATCGATTGATTGATTCTGTTTCCTGAGGCCTGTTTCTGAGGCCTAAAGCACCCCAACATTATAACAAAATACTGTAACAAAGGTTATGGGAGCTATGAGCTAGGAACCATGGATGGAAATATATGTGTATATGTAAATATATATATATTTATATGTTATATATGTATCTCATATATATCTCACAAGTCAGTAGGTCTTCTTTATTCTCAATTATAATCACAACTTTGAATGTTAAACTGTACATTAAATTCTTCTCCTATCTATGGACATCTAGCTTTATCTCATGTTAAGGTTTAAAAAATTACTTAAGTAAAAATCTTAGCACACACACATGAATTTAGCCTAATGCCTGGCCATATGGTAGACAGTCAAATAATATTTGATGAATGATATAAATTTTCATGAAAGAGAAAGTGCCCAACATTTATTAAGCATCTATCAAATGCTTATTTATTCAATGTAATTTAATGAGGACATTGAGGCTCAGATGGTCAAGTACAAATGGCACATCTGAGATTTGATCTAAGGGTTGTCTTGCGTTAGAACGATGTTTTTGGCTCTCTTCTAAAGGGGAAATTAAATCTGATAAACTTAACTTTTTACTTTGTTTACTTATTTAGTTTAGATTTTTCTTGGCTCAAACAGCTCCTACTTTGTCACAGTGAGGTCAAATGGGCATGTGGCCATTCTAGAGAACTATTCAAAAAAAACAGATAGTATGAGGCTTCGTTTTGATGAAAAGATTGGTTTTGTAAACTTACAGAATTTACTCCCTGTTCCGAACTTTATTTTATTTAAAACAGAGACAGAGTTTCATTATGTTGGCCAGGCTGGTCTCAAACTCCTGACCTTAAGCAATCCTTTCACCTCAGCCCCCAAAGTGCTGGGATTATAGGCATGAGCTACCATACCTGGCCACCATAACTTTAATTATAGCCATTAATTTAAAATGCTTCTGAAAAGTAATGCTTCATGTAAATACTGCTACGTATGATATTACCAAATATGCTTGAAGATTAGCAGCCTAAAGAGTGATGTGGTTCTGGAACATTTTTGTGATTTTATTTTGGATTATCTGAATGGATCCTAAATATAATCACAAGTGTCCTTATAAGAGGGAAGGAGAGAGAAGTTTGACCTGAGGAGGGGAAGGTGATGAGAAGACTGAAGCAAAATGCTAATAATTTTGAAAATGGAGGAAGGGGCTACAAGCCAAGGAAATGCAGCTCTAGAAGCTGAAAAAGACAGAAAGTGAATTCTTCCCTAGGGCCTCTGGAGGAAGTGAAGGTCTCTTAACACTTTGGTTCTAGTCAGTGAATCATTTTGGACTTGTGACCTCTAAAAGTGTAGCATGTTGTTTTATGGCACCAAGTTTGTGGTAATTTGTTACGGCAATGATAAGAAACTAATACAAAGACTAAACAACCTTTATGCTATGAGGACTACATTGTCTTTCTGAAGTTACATCTAATTTTACTCACTTTCCATTTCTTACATTCTAGTAATCTTGATTCTGAGAACTGTAGGAGTGAAAACTGTAGTTGGTGCAAAAGTAATTATGGTTTCAGCTTGTGAATTTTAAATCATTATAAATAGGTTCAAATACATCTTTATTAAACAAAATAGGAACCATTACAATGAACACTTTTTTTTTTTTTGGCCAATGAGAAATAATTTTATTTATTTCTGTGGTGTAAAAAATCAATGCTTCGGGATTCAACAAACCCTTGGAAAGCATTTTCTGCATCCTGCTGGTTGTGTGTGTGTTTTTTGTTTTTTTTTTCTGAAGACAAAAAAAAATCAAGAAAGACCTTTGCATTTTCCCTGCAAAAAGCTGTCGAGATGCTTGAAGACGTGGTAGTCAGTGGCGAGAGGTCAAGTGAATATGGCAGATGAGGCAAAACTTCATAGCCCAATTCATTAAACGTTTGAAGCGTTGGTTGTGCAATGTGCAGTCGGGCATTGTGGAGAAGAATTGGGTGTGGCTGTAAGAGGATCAGCTTTGATGATTGCTCTCAATTGGTCATTGTCGACTTCTGATGGCCAGCCACTATGTTCCTCATCTTCAAGACTCTTGTCTCCTTTGCAAAACTTCTTGAACCGCCACTACATTGTACGTTCATTAGCAATTCCTTGGCCAAATGCATTGTTCATATTACGAGTTGTCTCCACTGCTTTACGACACATTTTGAACTCGAATGAGAAAATTGCTCAACTTTGCTTTTTGTCTAACAGCATTTCCATAGTCTAAAATAAATATAAGATAAACAGGAAGTAATGTCTCTAGCAAAAAGAAAAAAAAGAAGAATATGCATTAAAATGATGTATAACATAACCACAGTTATTTAAGAATGTATTCAAATATCAAACAGCAAATTTCAACAATGCAAAAACCACAATTACTTTTGTACCAATCTAATATTTTTTCCTTGTCCATAAGGGTCATAGTTGATACCCCATAACAAAAGACAGATTAACAGGAGAAATACGTAACTTTATTTAATGGTATTTATGGGAAGTAGGAGACTTCAGAAATTAAGACCCAAAGACCCTGGGAAAACTGTGTACTTTTGTGCTAAGCCCCAGGAAAGAAGTAGATAGTTGTGGAGAAATATGATTGGAAAAAAAGGATATCATCTAATAGTAATAACTTCGGAGAACATAAGATTCTTCTTGGCCTCTCTGTGCAGTATTCTTTTCTTATGGGTACATGGCAGGACAAAACCATCTCCCTTTTAGGGAAGGTAGTTTAGAAAGTGACTTTCTAGATTTCATGGCTTGCTTTGTGGGTAAGGATTTCTAGTTTCTATGACCCACTTCAGGGAAGAGTTCTGGTTTTTATGACATGCCTTCGAGGAGAAAGGAGTGCATAAGGAAGATCAGAGACCTTGTTTCTGGTGCCCTTCCAATCTTTTTCAGCTCAAAGAACTCAGCACATGCTAAGGCACCCATACTTGGGGTATCATTCTCTGAGCAATTAGCACCTATCAATCTATAAAGAAGCGTGTAGCCTTGAGCCTAAATGCAAGTATTTTCATTTAGAAAAAATAATCCTTTATTGGCCTTCTCTATTCCTTATTTATCACATCCTCCTCTTCATTTACCAGAAATACTTTCCCCAAGAGACTGTCCTTGGCCTCTCTTCTCATCCTCATATTCTTGCCTTTATTGTTTTGTTTACGGCCATAGCTTTAATTTTTACAGTAGAGCCAATGCTCTTGATCAGTTTGTTAGGCTTCAGATCCACATTTCCTGCTAAGCATGTTCAGCTGGATAACTCATTGGCATTTTGTATTCAATATAACTGGAAATGAATTTATCTTCTCATGCATTAGTTTATAAACGGAAAACCAGGTCACACCAGACAACAAATCCTTCATCAAATAAGATATGTTAAGAATTTTGCTTTGTTTTGTTTTACACAATAATGGAAAACTCAAAAAGTATCATTTTATTCTTTTGTTTTTGCAGATGTTAATTTTGAGTAATATTTCTTCCAACATTTCTTCACTTTGTCTTGCTCCACATGGGCCATCCTAGTCATGGTGCAAATGACTGCAGGAATGGAAAATCTGACTTTTAGATTACTCTGTATATAAATTCTAACAATATGATCTTCTCAGCCAAGTAACCAATTAATTCAAGTAACTTGGGACAGAGTACTCTGACTTTATCTCCTCTATTTTTTTTCTGAAGACAAAAAACCAAGTAAAAACATTCTGAACTTTACATGTAGTTTGTTGCTGGTGGTGTTAGAGATGTAATTTAAAAAAAGAACCTATGAGTCAATAGTAATTAACAAAAACAATGATGGCAACAACAAAAACCTAGTGAGTCCAGCCAGTAACTGTAGAAGAAATGATAGCATAGAAAACCACCACTTTACAACCCTCAGTAATAATACCTAATTCAGGCAAGGATAATCAAAACATGTTAAAAACAATTTGGTGAAATTTTATGGGGAAATGGGATTCATGAAATATCAAAATATCAACCCTTAGATTACATACTAGATGGTGGAAAAATCTGGCATGCACCACCTTAACTGAGTGATCAAACTTAACATCAGCAATAATTAGACAGTGCCTTTATGTGCCTCCAGAAGGGACTCCTTAGAAAAACATATTATGTGTGTAATATTCTTACCAAAAATGCTTAGCTTGAATCTAATCATGAGGAAACAACCAGAGAAATCTAAATCACAGAACATTCTACAAAAAGACTAACACTGGATTTCTTAAAAAAGCCCAATATCATGAAAAAACAAAACAAAACAAAACAAAAGAAGCAGATGAACTGTTCAAGATTAAAGGAAAATAAATGCAGTGTATGATTACTGATTGGATCCTGGATTTTTAAAAATTGGTATATAGTATCAGGGAGATCTGTCAATTCCCATCCCTATTTATCCATTTTATTTTATTTTATTATTTTAATTTTTAAATTTTACTTTAAGTTCTGGGATACATGTGCAGAACGTGCAGATTTGTTACATAGATATACATGTACCATGGTGGTTTGCTGCACCTATCAACCTGTCATCTAGGTTTTAAGCCCAGTGCATTAGATATTTGTCCTAATGCTCTCCCTCCCCTTGCTCCCACCACTCAACAGTTCCCAGTGTGTGATGCTCCCCTCCCTGTGTCCATGTGTTCTTATTGTTCAACTCCCACTTATGAGTGAGAATATGCAGTGTTTGGTTTTCTATTCCTGTGTTTGCTGAGAATGATGGCCTCCAGCTTCATCCATGTCCCTGCAAAGGACATGAACTCATGTTTTTATGGCTGCATAGAATTCTATGGTATATATGTGCATTTTCTTTATCTTGTCATTGATGGGCATTTGGGTTGGTTCCAAGTCTTTGCTATTCTGAATAGTGCTGCAATAAACATACATGTGCATGTGTCTTTATAGTAGAATGATTTATAATCCTTTGGGTATATACTCAGTAATGGGATTGTTGGGTCAAGTGGTACTTCTTGTTCTAGATCCTTGAGGAATCGCCACACAGTCTTCCACAATGGTTGGACTAATTTACACTCCCACCAACAGTATAAAACCATTCCTATTTCTCCACATCCTCTCCAGCATCTGTTGTTTCCTAACTTTTAAATAATCACCATTCTAACTGTCGTGAGATGGTATCTCATTGTGGTTTTGATTTGCATTTCTCTAATGATCAGAGATGATGTGCTTTTTTTCATATGTTTGTTGGCTGCATAAATGTCTTCTTTTGAGAAGCATCTGTTCATATCCTTTGTTCACTTTTTTTAAAAATTATAAATGTGCTTAAGTTTCTTCTAGATTCTACATATTAGACCTTTGTCAGATGGGTAGATTGCAGAAATTTTCTTTCATTCTGTAGGTTGCTTGTTCACTCTGATGATAGTTTCTTTTGCTGTGCAGAAACTCTTTCGTTAAATTAGATCCCATTTGTCAATTTTGTTTTTTGTTGCAATTGCTTTTGGTGTTATAGTCATGAAGTCTTTGCCCATGCCTGTGTCCTGAATGGCATTGGCTAGGTTTTCTCCTAGCGTTTTTATGGTTTTGGATTTTACATTTAAGTCTTTAATCCATCTGGAGTTAATTTTTGTATAAGGCGTAAGGAAGGGATCCAGTTTCAGTTTTTGGCATACGGCTAGCCAGTTTCGCAGTATCATTTATTAAATAGGGAATCCTTTCCCCATTGCTTGTTTTTGTCAGGTTTGTCAAAGATCAGATGGTTGTAGATGTGTGGTGTTATTTTTGAGTACTCCATCTGTTCCATTGTTCTATATATCTGTTTTGATATCAGTACTATGCAGTTTTGGTTACTGTAGCCTTGTAGTATAGTTTGAAGTCAGATAGCATGATGCCTGAAGCTTTGTTCTTTTTGCTTAGGATTGTCTTGGCTGTATGGGGTATTTTTTGGTTCCATATGAAATTTAAAGTAGTTATTTCTAATTCTGTTAAGAAAGTCAATAGTAGATTGATGGGGGATAGCACTGAATCTATAAATTACTTTGGGCAGTGTGGCCACTTTCATGATATTGATTCTTCTTATCGATGAGCATGGAATGTTTTTCCATTTGTTTGTGTCCTCTCTTATTTCCTTGAGCAGTGGTTAGTACAGGTATTGATCGACTTACGACCTATGCAACTTATGACCATTCAACTTTATGACCACAAACGCTAGCCACGACTGCTCCACGTCTGGCAGCACAAACGTTGCCCAGCTGGGCGTACGACAGTGCGGACCAGCTTCCGGCAGCACTACCATCTCCACGTGCAGTATTTCAACTGTAAATATAGCCTACTCAACTTGACCAAATCGTGTTATGCCCGGTCTGCGGTCCTGACCATGGTCATAAGTCGAGCACTAGCTGTACTTCTCCTTGAAGAGGTCCTTTACATCCCTTGTAAGTTGTATTCCTAGGTATTTCATTCTGTTTCTAGCAATTGTGAATGGGAGTTTGCTCATTATTTGGCTCTCTGTTTGTCTATTATTAGTGTATAGGAATGTTTGTAATTTTTGCACATTGATTTTGTATCCTGACTTTGCTGAAGTTGCTTATCAGCTTAAGGAGATTTTGGGCTGCGATGATGGGGTTTTCTAAATATACAATCAAGTCATCTGCAAACAGAGATAATTTGACTTCTTATCTTCCGATTTGAATATGCTTTATTTATTTCCCTTTCCTGATTGCCCCGGCCAGAACTTCCAATACTATGTTGAATAGGAGTGGTGAGAGAGGACATCCTTGTCTTGTGCCGGTTTTCAAAGGGAATGCTTCCGGTTTTTGCCCAGTCAGTATGATATTGGCTGTGAGTTTGTCATAAATAGCTTTTATTCTTTTGATATACATTTCATCAATACTAGTTTATTGACAGTTCTTAGCATGAAGTTGTGTTAAATTTTACTGAACGCCTTTTCTCCATCTATTGAGATAATGATGCAGTTTTTGTCATTGGAAAGTGGCTGAAGGATATGAATAAACACTTCTCAAAAGAAGATATTTATGCAGCCAACAAACATATGAAAAAAAGATAATCACCACTGGTCATTACAGAAATGCAAATCAAAACCACAGTGAGATACCATCTCATGCCAGTTGACTTTTGGCCCCCAACTCTGTTCTGGCTTGTAGAGTTTTTGCCAAGAAATCTGCTGTTAGTCTGTTGGGCTCCCCTTTGTAGGTAACCTGACCTGTCTCTCTGACTGTCCTCAACATTTTTTCCTTCTTTCAAACTCGGAAAATCTGATGATTATGTGTCTTGGGTTGGGGTTGATCTTCTTGAGAATTATCTTAGTGGTGTTCTCTGTATTTCCTGAATTTGAATGTTGGCCTGTCTTGCTATGTTGAGGTAGTTATTTTGGATAATATCCTAAAGTGTGTTTTCCAACTTGGCTCCATTCTCCCCATCACTTTCAGGTACACCAATCAATTGTAGGTTTGGTCTTTTCACATAGTCTCCTATTTCCTGGAGGCTTTTTTTGTTCCGTTTCATTCTTTTTTCTCTAATCTTCATGCCTTATTGAAGGTGATCTTAAATCTTTGATATCCTTTGTTCTGCTTGATTGATTCAGTGATTGATGCTTGTGTAGTCTTCATGAAGTTCTTATGCTGTGTTTTTCAGGTCTATCAGTTCATTTATCTTCCTCTCTAAACTTCTTATTCTAGTTAGCACTTCCTATGATCTTTTTTCAAGGATCTTAGCTTTCTTGCATTGGGTTAGAACATGCTCCTTTATCTCACATGAGCTTATTACCCACCTTCTGAAGCCTACTTCGGACAGTTCATCAATCTCATTCTCTGTCCAGTTTTGTGCCCTTGCTGGAGAGGAGTTTCCATCATTTAGAGGAGAAGAGGCATGCTGGTTTTTGGAATTTTCAGCATTTTTACACTGGTTTTTCCTCATCTGCATTGATTTATCTACCTTTGATCTTTGAGGCTGATGACGTTTGGATGGGGTTTTTGTGTGAATTTGTTGTTGCTTTCTGTTTGTTAGTTTTTCTTCTAACAGCAGGCCCCTCTTCTGCAGGTCTACTGCAGTTTGCTGGAGGTCCACTGCAAACCCCATTCACCTGGGTATCACCAGTGGAGGCTGCAGAACAGCAAAGATCATTGCCTGCTCTTTCCTCTGGAAACACCGTTCCAGAGGGGCACCCACCAGATGCCAGCCAGAACTCTCATGTATGAGGTTTCTGTCAACCCCTGTTGGGAAGTCTCTCCCAGTCAGGAGATACCAGGGTCAGGGTCCCACTTGACGAGGCAGTCTGTCGCTTAGCAGAGCTGGTGCGCTGTGCTGGGAGAATCGCCCTTGGCAGGATTATCTGCTCTCTTCAGAGCTGGCAGGCAGGAAAGACTAAGTCCACTGAAGCTGCACCCACAGCCACCCCTCCCCTCAGGTGCCCTCTCCCAAATAAGTTTTATCTGTAAGCCCCTAACTGGGGCTGCTGCATTTTCTTCAGAGATGCCCTGCCCTGTGAGGAGGAATCTAGAGAAGCAGTCTGGTCACAGCCACTTTGCCATGCTATGGTAAATTCTGCCCCGTCCTAACTTCCCAGTCTCCTTAGCACTGTAGGGGAAAACCACCTACTAAAGCCTCAGTTATGGTGATGCCCCTCCCCACTCCAAGCTCAATCATTCCAGGTCGACTCTAGACTGTTGTGCTAACAGAGAGAATTTCAAACCAATGGTTCTTAGCTTGCTGGGCTCCATGGGAGTGGGACCCACTGAATGAGACCATTTGGCTCCCTGGATTCAGCCCCATTTCCAGGGGAGTGAATGGTGCTGTCTCGCTGGGATTCCAGGCACCACTGGGGTATAAAAAAAATCTCCTGCAGCTTGGTGCCTGCCCAAACAGCCACCCAATTTTGTGCTTGAAACCCAGGGCATCAGTGGTGCAGACTCACAAGGGAATCTTCTGATATGTGGATTGCAAAAACCATGGGAAAAGCATAGTACCTGGGCTGGGTAGCACAGTCCCTCACAGCTTCCCCTGGCTGGGGAGGGAGGTCCCCCGGCTCCTTGCACTTCCTGCATGAAGTGATGCCCACCCTGCTTTTGTTTGCTCTCCATGAGTTGCACCCACAGCTTATCCAGTCCCGGTGAGATTAACTGGGTGCTTAAGTTGGAAATGCAGAAATCACCTACCTTCTACCCTGGTCTCGCTGGAAGCTGCAGACCTCAGCTGTTTCTATTCAGCCATCTTGGCTCCTCTCCCCTCTATCCATTAAAAAAAACAAATTGTGACAATTGCTATTGTAGTGAATAAAGAATGTCTTCCTTTTTTCCTGAAGTGATACCCTCTGAACTATATTTAGAAATGAAATTATGATGTCTACCTTACTTTTATTTTAATTCATTTATTTTTTAAAAATAATTTTAACTTTTATTTTAGATCAGGGTACTTGTGCAGGTTTATGGGTACATTGCATAATGCTGAGGGTTGAGGTGCAAATGATCCCACCACTTGGGTAATGAGGATAATACCCAATAGGTAGTTTTTCAGCCCCTCTTCTGGTAGTGTCTAGTGTGTATTTTTCCTATCTTTATGTCCATGTGTACCCAGCATTTAAATCTCACATGTGAGAACATGTGGTGTTTGTTTTTTTTGTTCCTGCATTAATTTGCTTAGGATAATGTCCTCTAGCTGTATCCATGTTGCTATAAAGGACATGATTACTTTGTTTTATATGGTTGTACAGTATTCCACAATGGCTGAAAGACTTTACATCCTTACCAACAGTGTATAAGCATTCCCTTTTCTTTGCAGCCTTGCCAGTATCTGTCTGTCTATCTTACTGGTATGAGATAACATTTCACTGTAGTTTTGATTTATATTTCTCTGATAATCAGTGATGTCAATCATTTTCTCATATGTTTGTTGGCTACTTACATGTCTTTGAGAAGTGTCTGTTCATGTCCTTTGCCCACTTTTTAATGGGGTTGTTTGTTATTTGCTTGTAAATTTAGCTTTCTTATAAATTCTGGATATTTGACCTTCATCAGATCACAGCTTATGAATATTTTCTCTCATTTTGAAGGTTGTCTGTTTACTCTGTTGATAACTTCTTTTGCTATGCAGAAGCTCTTTGGTATAATTATGTCACATTTGTCAATATTTGTTTTTGTTCCAATTACTTTGCAGGACTTAGTCATGAATTTTTTGCCCAGGCTTATGTCCAGAATGGTATTTCCTAGAATTCTTCCAGAATTCATATACTTTGAGGTCTCATATTTAAATCTTCCCAATACTGGGAGTTTTGTATATATTAAAGGTAGGGGTCCAGTTTCATTTTGCCACATATGGCTAGCCAGCTATTCCAGCACCATTTATTGAACAGCGACTCATTACCCTATTGCTTGTTTTTGTCAACTTTGTTGAAGAACAGGTGGTTTAAAGTGTGTGGCTTTATTTCTGGGTGCTCTAGTCTGTTCCATTCATCAGTGTGTCTGTTTTCATACCAGTGCCATGCTGTTTTGGTTTCTATAACCTTATAGTTTGAAGATGAGTAATGTGATTCTCTGCCTTTGTTCTTTTGGCTTAGGCTTGCTTTGGCTATTTGGGCTCTTTTTTCATTCTATATGAAATTTAAAATAGGGTTTTTTTTTTCTAATTCTGTGAGTAGTAGCATTGATAATTTGATAGAAATAGCATTAAATTTGTAGACTGCTTTGGGCAGCATGGCCATTTAAATGATACTGTTTCTTTCAATCCATGAGCATGAAATGTTTTTCCATTTGTTTGTGTCATCTGTGATTTCTTTCTGCAGTGTTTTGTAGTTATCCTTGTAGAGATGTTTCACTTTCTTGTATAGCTTACTTTTAAACGAGAGTGCATGAGAGTGTGTGTTTTACAGTGCACAAAGGGATAGGGAGTGTGGGGAGGTGAGCAAATGTGACAGAATGTTTACTAGTAAATTTAAGTGATAAATGAGTGTTCATTTACAACATATTTATAATTTTTATAAAATTGAGGGAAATTGTGGTTTAAAAAAATATCTTAAAATGAAATCAACAACCATTAGATAGGAGAAAGTCTGTTGATATAATACGCTATTATTACCAATTGCCATTGTTGGCATACTTTGTTCTGTTCACAGTATCAGCATTGTGTACTTCTTACAATAATAAAATCTCCTGGACTCATTTTTCTTAAATGCCTTGACAACTGGAGACATGGAAGCTTCTTAATAGTTGTAGTAGTCCCAGAGTTGCCGTAAATCTCAGCATTGTTTCCTCAGCCTAGATCCATACCTAACTGGCATTGAAAGAACAAATGTAATCATTTTTCTATTTGTGGGTAATCAAACCACAAATCAGAATCTTTTTCAATTTTGTAATTAAATCTTTTTTGATTTAAATCTATTTAGGTTTGAGATTTATCTTCAAAGAAAACAACTCTGTAATAATTATATAATTTTTCAGTTTTTGAGAATTTACAGATTATTTTAAATTTAAGGTGAAACATGATTGTTTTTAAAAATTAAAAAAAAAAAAAAGGTCAGGTGTGGTGACTCATGCCTCTAATCCCAACACTTTGGAAGGCCGAGATGGGTGGCTCACCCGAGGTCAGGAGTTCAAGACCAGCCTGACCAACATGGAGAAACCCCATCTTTACTAGAAATACAAAATTAGTCAGGCGTGGTGGTATGTGCCTGTAGTCCCAGCCACTGGAAAGTCTAAGGCAGGAGAATCACTTGAACCTGGGAAGTGAGGGTTGCAGTGAGCTGAGATTGTGCCATTGCACTCCAGTCTGGCGACAAGAGCAAAACTCCTTCTCAAAAAATAAAAATAAAAATAAAATTTAAAATGTCCTAAAATTAAAAGATTATTTAAAAATAACTCAAGTGCTCAGTGTAATTTTTAGATGAATATAAACAACTCAAGCTACTATTGAATAGAGTTCCAGTAACTACTAATAGTTTCAAAGATATATTAACTGTAAATCAGAAGAGAATGGGACCAGCTTTGGTTTTATCAAAGTCGTCTAAACAACCCAACCATTGTTTATAAAGCTTTCTTGTGAGCCTTTGTGAAAGATACTGAGAAAGTAAAATCTTCATTCTTCTAGTCATTTACAATCTAGCTGAAGAGGTAACAGTTATATTTATTAACATATATAAAAGCAAACAATTAAAAATCTATGAAAAATGGAAGATTAAACTGACTATTACATACTATGTTGTAGAACAATGTCATGGGAAAACACAATATACCAAGTTAAGTAAGTGTTCACTATAAGTACAATTTAAAAAATATATACAATGTTGTAATTTTGTTTTATAAAATAAAAAAGTATATGTAGAAATAGAAAAAATTACCAAAAATACATTTACCAATTATATAACTAGGGCTATCTTGGAGTAGTAGAATTTGTGATAATATTCTTTTTTATGGTTTTTAATATAGAATATTTTTGCAACATTTTAAAATTCAAAACACAGGTATTAGTCCATTCTTTCTGCTATAAAGTCATACCTGAGACTTGGGAATGTATTAAGAAGCTTAATTGGCTCATGGTTCTGTAGGCTGTGTAGGCTTCTGCTTTTGGGGAAGCCTCAGGAAACCTACAATCATGGCAGCAGATGAAAGGGAAGCAGACACATATTCACATGGCCAGCAGAAGAGACAGTGGGCAAAGGGGAAGGTGCCACACACTTTTAAACAACTAGATCTTGTAAGAACTCTATCATGAGACAGCAAGGGGGAAATCTGCCCCCATGATTCAATCACCTCCCACCAGGTCCCTCTTCTAACAACACTGCGAATTATAATTTGACGTGAGTTTTGGGTGGGAACATAGAGCCAAACGATATCAACACATATTTTAAAGAAATAATTTTAACTTTTGCAGGTGGGTGGGACAAGATGGTTAATTAGAAGCAGTACACAGCTCTCAAAAAGAGGAATAAAAACAGTGAGTAAATTCTATACCTTCAACTGAGGAATCCAGGTTCTTACACTGGGACTGACTAGGTGGATGGCTCAACCCATGGAGAGCAAGGAAAAAGCAAAGTGGCGTGATGACCCACCTGAGAGCAGCATGGAGCCAGCGGAGCCCACACCCCCATCCAAGGGAGGCAGTGACTGATTGTGTGACCCCACCTGGGAAAGAATGTTTTTCCCATGGATCTTTGCAATCCATAGATCAGGAGATCCTCTTGTGAGCCAGTCCCTCTAGGGCCTCAGGGCCAAAGCACAGAGCTGTGTGAAGTCTTGATGAAGTAGTTGCTTGGGCACACACAGAGACCCAGGAGTTTTGCATACTCTGGCCCTGGGAATTCTGCAAGGTGGGAGATCCATTTATGCATCCTCTATCCAGGGAGCCAAGCAGTGTCATTTTGCAGGCCCCACTCCCATGGCACCTCACAAGTTAAGATCCACTGGCTTGGAATTCCAGCTAGCCAGCAGCAGCAGGCTGGAGACTGCCTGAGGTGGATCTCTGCAGTTCAAGTTGGTGGTTCTTGCCTGCCAGCTGTAGGGAGTCCAAGCAGTCCAGACTGGGAGGAGTTCCCCACAACGCAGTACAGCTACTGAGCCAGATTGTGGCAAAACGGCTTCCTTAATTGGGACCCCAGCTCATCCCTCCTTACTAGGCAGGGCCTCCCTGTGGAAATTTTAGCAACTCCAGCCAGAGTTATATGGACAGAACTCTGATCTCTCCCTGGGACAAAGCCCCTGCAGGAGAGGGGCAGCAACCATCTCTGCGGTTCAGCTGACTTATCTTTCCAGCCTGTATTCTGGAGAATCCGGGTGGTCTGGATGAGGGCAGATCCTACCAGCACAGTACATCTGTTCTGCCAAGGGGCAGAACTTTTTTAAGCAGGTTCTTGATCCCATTCCTCCTGAGTGAGACCTCCCAATAGGGGTCTCCAGACACCTCCTACAGGAGTGTTCAGGCTGGCATTCGGTCATTCCCTGCTGGGGTGGAGCTGCCAGAGGAAGGAGCAGACTCCCATCTTTGCTGTTTTGCAGCCTTCACTGGTGCACACCTCCAGGTGTGGGAAGAACTGAGTCAACAATAGTCTGGAGTGGACCCCCAGCAAACCACAGCAGCCCTATGGAAAAGTGGCCTGACTGTTAAAAGGGGGAACAACTACAACATCAACAAAAAGAGATGTCATTACAACTCCATTCAAAGGTCAGCAACTTCAAATATCAAAGCTAGGTAAGCCCACAAAGATGAGAAAGAATCAAAGCAAAACTCCTGAAAACTACAAAAGTC